GGAAATACGCCATGCCGGTATGAAGCCCAGGGTCTTTGGCAATGGATGACCGCATGAGATTTTTTAGGCGGAAGTTGGCGTCCATCGCGATGATCAATAAATACAAAAATCTGTCTGTCATGAGGTTCCATTGCAATTGCCCTCAAAAGAATAATACTCACTTCCACTCAATCTCAACGTCTTCCCATTTCTCCGGGAGGTTTACGCCGGGGATAGGACAAGCCAGCGCCAGATCACCAGCACCCGTCAACAGAAGGCCTTCAGGAATGTTCCCCCGACCTGCGCGTTTCATCAACTTGAGATGACGGAACATTCGGACCATGCACATCAAGGATTTATATCGTGTCTTAGTGACCGATCAGATGAGTTAAGCGGCGGATAGGGACGACATACCTTAGGGACACTTAACTCCATATTGTCCGTCATGTACTCCAGAGCTTTGTAAAATTCGTGCGCCGAGAGCTTGCCTGCCAGAGTGATAGTGTGGAACAACTCCAGCACACGAAATGTGGCGCACGTCTGGGGTTGGTGAACTGTCGCGGGAAACCATTCACTCTGGAGTAATTGTCGGCGGTTGCTGACACGGTGTTCACACCCACAGAAGTCGACTGCGACGTAGTGTAGGCCGTTCGTGTGGATGACAGTAAAATCCTTGTGGCCCGGTTGAGGAAGTACGCACGGTTGGTTCACTGGATGACCCAGCTGAACCCGGAGGCCAAGATCCTTGAGCGACGTCTTCTCATAACATCCGCCGTTCCATGTCTAAGAATGTCAGACCACGAGACTGACATGCGATAAACACCCTAACCTGGATTACATGGAGCGGAAGATGGCGATGTCATTTCAAGCAGCAGCTGACGCATTCAGCTAGTGGCCCCAGACAGTCTTCACACCGATAGAGGCCAAATTCGGAGGAGCAGGACATGCACGAATGGCATTGTGGGCCACCCCGTCCTTCCAATTTGATCAACTCACGGAGATACTCCTCTCGGTAACCCGGGTCACCTCTACCCCTCCCAGCCCAATCTTGCAAAGGGGCATCCTAGTGCAGCATATGTAAGATTGCTAACATGGTCTTCAGATGCACTCACTGAAGTTGGATACCGTTTTGCGGCAACCTTTGCGGCAACAGTCGGTGCCTCAGGATCTAAAAGCGCCTGTCCCTCAGATCCCTCGTATTGAAAACTAGGATCCCAGTCACTGAAGTCGGGCTCTGGGAGGCGGTGAATGGATGTCGAAGGCCTCTTCTGAGGGGAAAGAGGGGTCTGTAGAATACGAAAGCCGTTGTCAGAAATGCGAGCAGTGCGTGAGTGGGCGAGAGAGTCATCTGCGTCTTCGTTATGGTGGACGACTGTATAGTTCTTCACTTTCCCCTTGCCTCTTGCCATCGTCGACAAGAGAGGGGGACAACTCTCCCATGCCTACCTAAATGATCATCAACAGATGTCCACGTTCATACATAGTAAGCAGAAAATGGTAAAGTCGTTTACAATTGGAAAACGGTAGTGAACAAGAAAATACAAATGCACAAGAAAGGTAACTACAACGCGAGGTGCTCAGGGGGCTCCTCCAGACCCGCCACCAACCTCTCAATCTTTTGGAAAGTCTCGTCGGCCCATGTCGGCGTAGGTAAAGTGCTCACAATCTCCTGAATTGCATGGTTCATCTCCCTGGCCCACGTCGCCTCTCCACCAGGTCCATACACTTGAGTGATGGGAACATCTTGTTGTCCGTGCTTCGGAAAGAGGAGAGACGACCAGCACAACCTCCCCTTCAAGAGCTGTAAAAAATCAGGAACCAATCAGTGAGAACAATAGACACAAAGACTAACCTTGCGACGTGCAATATTGATGTGTTCCTGGTAATCAGGGTCGTCCAAATACCCTGGCTGAACTCGAATTTCCTCCTCGGGCTCAGGAAAAAGCAAGAACCACAGATGCGAAGCCCTTTCGAAGAACACGTTGACTTGCACTTCTCTATAGGCAATGCGGAAACTGGGTCCGAGTGCATTCAATATGAGATCTTGGCGTCTTTTGAGTTGCCGAGCCATTTCAGGGTGAGGGTCTGGCGTCTAATACAATCGATCGATCAGTGTGTCTAAATGCCGACGGAGGTATATTTTACCAAGCTTTTCTTTTGCTCCCGGCGGCTGCGCTTTTCAGCCTCAGCATCTTGGAGGACGACCGGCACAATGTCGGGTTTGCCGAGAATACGAACTTTACGCTTCGTTTTGTTGGTTTGCTTGGGCATGTTACGCGAAGATGAGGCAAGCTGCAGTAAGGTTCGTTCTTTGTACCAGTCTCATCAAACTTTAATAACCGATCTGTACAGCTGTTCATTGCTCAAAATTGTGGATTGTCCCACTCGTTCGAGGTATAACCTTTGTATTTAACATTGGAAATAAGTATCTGTCATGTTTTTACTCTAATCACAGTTTTGGTAAGATAGACGTCCGAGGGCATACCAGGCCCCAAGTTGGCTGGGTGATGATATCAAATGTTCCTCAACCTCGGTGAGAAAACCTATGATGCGCCGCACATTTGAGCACACTCCATTGGCGACGTCGTATTCAGGTCCGCAGCTGTACTCCTGCAAAATGGACGCGAGTGTGTCTTGCACATCATGCAAGAAGGTGTCCCACATGCGCGACACCTCTTGGCAGTAATCCTTTGCGCCGTCTATATCGTTGAGGCATTGTTCAACGAGGTCAGAGAGATAGTCAGAGACCGATCCCTTGGTAAGCTGTTCAAACTGTTCCTGAGCGGCGGCGATGACTTTCAGGGGGTTTTCGCTAGTCATGAACCGCAAAGATCAATATCTCGCATACATGTCATAATCCGCCGTTACCTTTCTGCCTCCAATGGATCTGAGGTTTCAATGGTTCCTCCTATTGATGGCTCATCCAGTCCCTGTTTCAATGATTTCCGGGCCTTTTTGTATTGACGGCGAGCTCGACGGCATAACTGCACGCGGTGTCTGGAAAAAAGCGAATGGTCACGTCGGAACAAAATGCTGTGGTAAGTAAGCATGCTCACTTGTCGTAGTACCTTATTAATGTCTCCTGGCGCGCTTGCTTCTTTTGTTCAGGTGTGTGGTAAAGGCGAGGTCGACCCATGGCAGTGGTTGCAGTGTAGGAGGCGTGGAGGGAATTTCCTAATCGAGAGACGCCCTTCAAACATAACGACTTTTTCTTTCGGTAGGCAGCATTTGTAGCTATAATATCAATATATTGGGACAGTTAGAATACTGCCGTGAAACCCTTCCGTTTGGTGCATAAATCACATTTTAAGGAAAAAGAGGCCTTTGTGCACGATGGCATCTTATGGCCCATTGACTATAAAAGCGCTCCTGAGCTGGACTGCAGGACGCTACTCTTACGACTTTTACTCTGCCACAGCTAGACTTTCAAAATTATTAGACCTACCGATTTTCTATACTGTCAGGAGGCCATATCAGAAAAATCTAAGGTGCCGGCGGTGGACTACGCTCTCCAGATACATTTCCATTTCACAGTTGTCATCTAAATTTAGCACTACAAGCATACTGAAGAGGTAGGCAGATCCCTTCCGTCATTGTTTTCAACTCATATAAGTCACACATTATATGAAGAGGGGGGACAACAATTTTATTCGATAGCAGCGGGTACATGGAAAGTAGACTAGATACGACCACCACCACTATCTATCTAGTACACAGGACATTGCAAAAAGTTCGATACAGCACACTTCAAGAAAGATATAACGCAAAATTGGCCGCCAGTGCTGCTCCCATACGGACGTGGCCCTCCGCAATGGAGGCAACCCGGCAACAGGTGAAGTGAGAAACTCCAGCAACCAACGCGCTGGCCGTCTCCCTATTATGGATACTGCACGTCAACGCAAGACTTAGTTTTGAATGATGGAGACTTACCAGCCGGCGAAGATGCCAATATCGCGACCGCGAGTGACTGTATAAAACGGTCCCAAGGCATTGGGAGCGGGAACGTGATACCCGTAGATGGGGGTAATGAGATGTGTTGGCGGAGGGATAGCATTGAGGGGCGCGTTTGCTGGCCGGATGAAGGGAAGCGCGTAAAGCACCGCGGTTGATGCAGTGACTCCAACAGGCGTGACCATTGTGGTGGTGTTGCTGGGTAAAACGGGAGCGACAACTGGCGCCACAGGGGTAGCTGGGAGAGCCGTTGTCGTACCTGCGAGGGCTACTGCAGGAGTAGCGGCGGAAGACCCAGTGGAAGCCGCGACAGCCACCATCATGTCTGCAGGTGGAAGAGAGGAAGGTACGAGAGCAGGGCTGGAAGACGCAATGAGGGTGTTGCTGCTTGAAGTCAAAGCCAGGGGAGAGCCATAGAGATCCCCAGTGGACGCGACTGCGGTAGTGGCAGCGGGTGAATCGACTAAATCGGGCGATTCATCTTCCAGAAACTTGAAAGACGAATCGCCGTCATCGGATAATCCGCAAAAGTCGTCCTCTGGGGCGAAAAAGACTTCATAGCGACCGCTACCACCAGGAGCAGTGGTGGAGGTGTTCTCGACGGCAACCAACATTCGCATGAAACTGGTGGCGGTGGTGCGTGCGTGTTCAGTCGTGATCCCCATGCGCGCAAACAGATCTTCAAGAGCTGAAAGAAAAATTCAGCTTAATGAAAAGGCGTCACAATGAAAACTTACTGGGGTTGTCAGACCAGTTGGCCTTGTCTGGTCTCTCAACATTCGCTATGGGGGAAATTTTAGATGTCGTGGATGAAAAGGAACAGTCGGAAATTACCAAAAGTGGGTGATGTAGAGGACACGGCGGCCGCACGCACATCATTCAGTTGTACCATGTTGAGATAGTAAGTGGGGAGGCGTTTGAAAGTGGGGGGTTGGGGGAAAAGAGGGTGCGGTTGAGAATCTGGACTTTAAGTGAGCGGAAAGAAGCCTCTTTGCCTCGTTCCCACAGGTGAAGGAACCTTATTGGGTGTATACACAAAAAAATAGATACGTACATACCTGCTCTTCCGCATGTCTGAACCAAAGGTATTGGAGAGTACGACGGTGGACGATACTCATGAGAGTGGGGTGTAAGTGATCATCAATCATCGTGAGGGTTGTTCCTGATGTTTTTGGAAATCAAGGGTTGATGCACAGCCATTGCTGGTGACCCTGAAGAAAGGCTGGGCGAAAGGGGTTCGCGCAAAGTTTCTCAAGAGTTGCCTTGATGATTACAAGGCTGCAGTCCTCAAATCGAACGAAAAGGCCAACTCTGTCCTCAATGACATCCTCAATGACTGGTTCAAAACCTTCCATTGGTCTATTCCCATTCCTAAACGTGACCAAGACAACGAAACCATTCCCCCCCTTTTTCCATTTCCTAAGACCTCTGATGGGTTCGAAATCTTGTCCCCCGCTGATAGCACTTTGAAAGGAAAAGTCATTGAGCGTATGAGAAAGGTACGTGATTAACATTATGATTCAGAGATTCAGTAGTAACGTGTATCTGCGTCATAGTCTCTTTACAACTGGTTCAATCATCGTTCCAAAAAGACCAAGTCCCTACAATGATCGAAGAAAACCCAAGACCCAATCGTTGTATTGGTCGACCGACTTCTGGGCGGTACGCCGAAAAGTCCTAAGCTCCGTGCGGGCTGGGAACTTTGGGGAGCGGCCAATTTTGCGTCAATGAAGGAGGATTGCAACATCGCGTTCTCAGACAGCGGCAAACCAGAGCGCGAACGTGCCGCATTCCGCAACACTTACAAAAAGGCGGTGTTTCTCGAACTGGGCGAGGAAGAGCAAAAACGATGGAATGAAGATGCCCTCGTCGCTCATAGGAAAGCCAAGGAGGAGTGGAAGGAGGGCAAGGGGGAGATCCAGGAGATGTCCCCTGCCGAAGCGCAAAAGTAAGTTGCTTCGCGTTGCTGATGCTTGTCTCATATTCCATCTTAACTAGGGCATTAAATGATCTGCCAAACCTTCTCGGTCCCCTTCTCGAGGGGATTGGGAAGTCACTCAAGATGCATATTTCCATATTCATTGGCGGTCCTGAGCCAATACAAAACGGAAATATCAATGCAATTAGGTCAGTTTCTATGTATCTTACAACATCTACCGTGGAACTGATGAGCGTTGACCGGCCTTTAGCCTCCATTACGGTACCAACAAGGCGCCCGCTCCCAAGGAGTGGGCTTATGCAGACGTGGAAAATTTTTCTGTAGTTAAGAACGTGTTCCTCGAATTCATGAGTACTTGCTACTGTAAGTGATTTCGTCATTTTACTTGTGTGACATTCGTTGACCTTGCCCTTCAGCTCCCGATGAACGACGAGCGTGAGCCCTTTCTGCAAGTGACACGCTCAAAGATGAGAGCAACCCCTTATCGATGGACTCATGCTATCCACCCTCAGTCGAAGCTTCTACCTCTCTCCCCCGATCGGCGGAAACGATTCCAACAATGACCAAAGAAGCGGTATCCACTACAATCAAACCAGCGGATAATGGGCCTCGCTCCTCGGCTTTGCGGAAAAGGAAGGCAAAAGGCGATCGAACAACAAAATCAAAGAAGCCGGCACCACGTAAGGCTCCACCTCCCAAGGCCAAGAAGGGAAAGAGGAAGCGTCGTGCATCAGTCGTTGAGTCAGATGCAGGAGATTCTGATGATGAAAGTTCGTCGTCGTCATCGGGGGAGGAGGAGGAGGAGGAGGAGGAGACGAGTGCTGATGAGTCCCAGGGCTCAGGAATCGGCGAAGACGATGAGCCCTCCATTCCGTCGTTGTCAAGGGGCTCCATGCATAATACCAGACGTACTACGATGGATCCGAAGCGTCTAGACCGGCCAGAAGAACCCATCGAAGTGGTTGTCGCGGCAATTACTCCTGCTCCTCAACAGGATCCTGCAATCTCACCTCCTTCCTCTCATCCTAGCATGCCGCCCCCTACTCTACCCTCACAGGGTTCTACGCTGCCGACCTCCACCTCGACTCCTATCCCTTCTACAGCGCACGCCACATTACCCGGGCCTGATCCCAATTGGCCCACGTGGTTCTCGAAGGCCTTCATGCTTCTTTCGGCTCGAGATTTGGGCCCGGCGTTTACCCAAGCCATTCGTCAGTACATCGAACTGGAGCGTCGGTACGGTTTTAGCATTGGAGGACCTCAGGCAGGTTTCAAGAAACAGAGGCGGCCGGATGAAGTCGATTGGTGGGTGGGGCGTGCGCGCATGAAGTCGCCGGAGATCAAGGATGTGTCATCCTTCGACCCAAAGTGGTGGGCTTGGTGGAATCTATTGCAGCCACATTGGCGTGGGGTTGCAGACGTAAAAGGGCCCTTGGGTCCGGCTCATCGTGAAGAGGTTACGGGGGAAGATGGTTGGTCGGTTATGGACAAGCATGGTCAGAACGTGTTCCTGACTGTGCTGGCGACATTGCTGTGGTGGGAGTCTGGTTTGCCGGGCAATGGACAGGACAATTCGAGCTGGCTAGCTGCCGTGGAGGATGTCAGCTGGGTGATGTCGCAGGTCGTGGATGCAGGGTAATTACTCTTCTAATATTCTACTTCGGATGCTGATTTCCAATGTATAGTTTATCCCCCACCACTTCACAGCCCCCCGCCAAAAGGCAGAGGCGTTAATTTACTCTAGACGCCACCGAAGGACACGCGTTTACAAAACCACCACCTCTTGACCACCTCCATAACACCCGTCTGATCTGAACGTCATTTTGACATTTTGACCATCTTGTCATCTATTGTTACCATTTATATCTTGTTACTATACTACCATATGTACTAATGAAAATTTCTTGTGTAAAAACAGTGGGTTGTCTTGACGTGCAACTAGTGTAAAAACGGCGACTTGTCTAATTATAAGTGTTTGGCGTTCAACCAACATCACGTGAGGTGGGCGCATAAAATGGGTGCGTAAAATGCAGTCTCATATGTGTCTCGCGTGTAAGACATGATGGTGAGCGTGAACACAATGAGAGTAATGTAATGCACCCAAATGGGTTCTGTCATAGCTGAGTCCTTGAGTCTGCAGCGGTGAAAGAGGCGCGCAAACAATGTTATAAACGGAAAACATATGAAGATTAAAAAAAACATACGAGGGAAGAAAACATACCAATGGGCAGCAGGAGGGAGACTTGTCATTGCGCGGGAGGTGCTCGAGACCGTAGTGATAGAAATGACAGGCGGATACATTGATTGATGGGGTGGAATACAGGAAGCTAAAAATAAACGCGTGGAAATATATCCTGTTGATTGACGAGCACGGAAATCATATCGTGTGAGCACGGAAGTCATACGGCGTATCATCAATAGTGATTGACAGCCGTGGCCCAAGAAAACGAATGAGAAGAAGCCAGTATTGATGGAGGAAACACAGGGGCTAATAATAGATGCCACATATTAGCCCTGATCATGACATTATCACATAAAACCTAATGTAGGGTTGTTATAAACTGTGGTAAACATTATTATATCAACATTTCTATTACGGAAAAGTGTTTTTTGAAGGAGACCAGGATTCCACAGCCCATGACATTTTGGGGAGGCAGCAAGTTCCACACCCTATGGAAACCAATGGGGTGGAACATCCCAGGTGAATTTGGTCTAAAACTACAGCCTGGACTGGTCAACGGACAACGACGACGACGACACGTCAACGGACAACGACAACGACACGTCAACGGACAACGACGATGACACGTCAATGGACGACGACAACAACACGTCAACGGACAACGACAACAACATGTCAACGGACAACGAGGACGGCCACACATCGACGGACGCCGAGGACGACGACCACATCAACTGACGACGTTGACGAGCCCCCTTCCCTTTTCCATCCCCCTTCCCTTTTCCATCCCCCTTCCCTTTTCCATCCCCCTTCCCTTTTCCATCCCCCTTCCCTTTTCCATCCCCCTTCCCTTTTCCATCCCCCTTCCCTTTTCCATCCCCCTTCCCTTTTCCCTTGCCCATCCCCTCCCTCTCTAGTATACACTGTATGTAATTAAATATATTTTGTATTATAATTGAAATACATCATTTTTTGATTTAATTCACTTGTGAATTTTATAATGAGGTCTGAATTTCTGACTTTAATAAATACAGTTCAAGTCACCTGACCTCTAACTCAGTGCTGAACCATCCTGTCTGATCAGAACTGATCAGCACTGATCAGAGCATGTGGGGGAGGGTAAAGTACTGCAATGTAGTAGAATACATTTATGTAGTTCTATCAAATACACTTTGATTTTCCCTATTCAAGTCTAAATATCATAAGGAATTCTTAGGATTAAGTTGTGAAATATACACTTTAGGCCTTCCTGTGACATTCCTGTGCCATTCCTGTCCATTCCTGTGGATTCCTGTGCCATTCCTGTGGATTCCTGTGCCATTCCTGAGGATTCCACTGGAATCTGGTGGAATGCCTTCATTCCTGCAGGAATCAGTGGGGCATGACGAAGTACTGCTGCTTATGGCATCCATCTCCCTTCCCTCCCACCTCGCTCCCACCTATGTACATCCCACTATACCAACCTGAAGCTTCACAATTGCTGTAATTCTTCAAGCAATCCTTAAATTGATGCTGACAGGCCTGCATGTGCTAATAAATCCTAGGAATAGCCCTATTTTTGATTCCAAACTTTGTTGTTAAATACTCCACTGTTGTACATGGCCAATGGATTACACAGGTGTAAGGGCTACTCTAATGACATGTTTTTGTGGCCGGGGGAGGTAAATAAACTACAAAATGGGCGAAGGAATGACGGGGACTCTCAATACCAGTTGTTGAAATCTGAAGTTTCTAGATTTTGAAGTTAGGCTTACAGGCTGAAGATTTGATGGTGGCGTCGTCTTCAGATTCGGACTTTAAAATCTGAAGACATTTGAAGATTTCAGATGTCTTCAGATTCTTATGGGAAGGTATCCATTTTGCAGATGTTGCCGGTCCGCAGGTCTTGTCCCCCAAGCCAAGGAGGTGGCGGCCCAACGTGGATCCTGGATATAGGGTTGTGTGGGGGGGCATCCGTCGGAGGCCTTAAATTTTTTTGTGACCTTATCTAATGAAGTCCATTCAAATGGTCTACAACACTACCAGAGCACCCTTGGAGCTTAATTTGGTAAGTTGCACACATATTTGGTCAGTAAATTTCGATACCTTGAGGCCTACTCAATTCTAGGCAGTTCAGATCAGTTCAGGTCAATACAACGTCTTCCCAATTGGGACAAGTGAATTTGGAAGTCCTCTGATCTCAGGGCGCCAGTCGCCACCACTTTTGGATCAATGGCTTTTCGATGCTGTCTTTTGACTTTGCATGTATCCTACTTCACTTATGCTGCAATTGCAGAAATAACAGTTGTATTGAACACATGCCCTGTCCTTTTGATTTTGTACAGTTTTGTCCAGTGTACATAGTAAATAAAAGATATTCTGTGAGGAGTTAATAATTTTCATGTGATTTCAAGGGCCCTCGCTAAAATTACCTGCAGGATTTATCCTTACAGCTATTACGTTCCCACTGGGACCTTCTGCTCTGTAAATTCTGTTTTGCGTTCAGCGTAAGTTACTGTAAGTATTCTACTTTGTGTAAGTATTCTACTTTGTGTAAGTATTCTACTTTGTGTAAGTATTCTACTTTGTGTAAGTATTTCTGCTTTGTGCAAGTAAGTATAGGTAAGTATCTGCTGTTCGATCCAAAAGCAGTGGTGACTGGCGCCCTGAGATCAGAGGACTTCCAAATTCACCCGTCCCAATTGGGAAGACATCGGATTGACCTGATCTGATCTGAACTGCCTAGAATTGAGCAGGCCTTTGCATACGGGCCATGGTGCCATGTCTGGAACCAAAAAGATGCCCGATTTGGACATAATTCTCAAAGCGGTAGTCCCATCAGACCCTACTTTCCATTTCAGAATTTATGTCTATATCCAGCTTATTGTGAATGAATTTGGCATCTTTTGGGCATGACATCTTGAGTCACATGATTACTAATGTGAATTGGAGGTGCTTCCTCAATGTGTATCTTGCCTTCTACTCCACCGATTTCCTTCGTTCAACATGCAAAATAGCACTACAAAATTAGGCCGTCGCAGAGGTACTTGCAATAAGGAAGGGCACAAGGCAGGAGGTGCCAGAAGTGGTGCTGGAAGGAAGAAAAGGATGCAATCAGTTGAATCTGAGGGAGAAGCTGATCTCTCTGATCCTGGCCCTTCAACAAGCTCTGCTGTTCAAATCAAGAATTCAGCTGTGTAACAGCATCTCAACATTCTCATCCCTTTGATTATCTTTCTTTTCTTGCCAGGGCCCATCAAGATTACAGTTTCTCAGGCAAATTCCTCCAAGGAGATTCATCCATTCTTCAGTATGTAATTCTACCCTATCATCTCACCACATTCTCATCCAGTAACTCAATAAGGGAGCCAGAAACAATCTAAGAACTCCCTTGCAGCTGGACCTGTTCCATCTGGTGAGATCCAACATGCATACTATATTTTGATAAGCTGATTTTACAGAATCTACTTTACCTGGGGACATGGGCCCAGGTTCAGACATGCAAATTCCCTCTGCAGATGACATTGGGCAAGATTTGCATACATTGGATGAGACTATGGACTTGGGACAAGGTATTTGCTACTTCTGCTTGTAGTACTACCATTCTTAATTTACTTCCAGATACTTCTTCTGCTCCAGCTAATGAGATAACTATGGCTGAACTAAGTAGCTTTGATGATCTGTTTGAACAGCCTACTCTAGGGAATCAGTCTACTGCTACTCAGGACTTGGATTCTGGTGATAACTTTGACTATGGTTCTAGTTCTGACTCCAGTTCTGATTCTGATACTGATCTGGATGACTCTGGGAATGCTGAGGATTCTAGACATTCTGAGCCTAAGGAGGGTGTTATAAAAGCCTATCTCACTATGTTAAAGGCTAGTCTTAGTGGCCAGATAGGTCCTCGTAGCAAACAACTCCCTGATTGCTACAAGCAGGGACAATTCTGGATTCATCCAAGGCATCCTTTCTTTGCCATGGATAAAGCTGCAATTTCTGCTGGTGGCATAACTCCTGAGTCACTGTATTTTCCTGATGTATTTGTTTGGATTCCTACTCTTCTGAATGGCGACAATAAACTTGTCTGCAAAGATCATAAATGTGTCAGATCTGGGTTGAAAGATAAGGAACTGTCTATTAAAGGATTCAATGATAATCCTATTGCACGCAGAGTTATTACTCTTGACAGTTGCTACTATATTCTTACTCAGAGAGTTGAATGCTCTCGTAAATCTGGTGGTTGTGGAAAGTCTTGGAATTTATATGATCCTATGATTATGGAACAACTAAATCCTGGGCTTGCTGCTTGCTTTCCTGCATTTCTTACACATCGAAGTGGAATCGATAAAACTGTGATAACACTTATCAGAGCAGGCATGGCTCATTCTCTCAGCTCCAATGCTTGGTCTAAGATTTTGAGAGAGCTACACCTCAGAGAACATGACTTGAGAGAGTTAACATATCTGTATGCTATTCAGAAGGAGGAATCAAAGCATAATGTGCCAAAGGCATATCCTCTCTTTTCAAAATTTGAAGATAAGAGTGGATATGCAGGACTTGCACCTCATCGCTC